AGATGGTGGTCACTGGTGGACGAGGTCATAGCTGCAGGGCTGGGGGCGGAGGGGCCTCTGCGGGACAGGGTCTCTTTCCGGTGGTGGATCAGCTTCCTGAGGCAGGGACAGGGAGGTTACTGGGGGAGTCACCTTACAACTCCCCAAGTCCGCCCGTGCTCCCTGAGGGACACTGCCCACCCTAGCCCAGGGCCCCCACCTCCCATCACCCTCATGCCCCACCCACCTCTGCACTACCAACCCTGCCCTCAGGGTCTCTGAAGGACCCCATCTTCCGGGCCCACTGGGAGGTCCCCACAACACACACACACACTCACTGGAGGATCCCTCGCTGCTCCAGGCTGTATTTGCCACCATCCCGCATGGCGGCATTGTGCACAGCCTCAATGGCCCGGTCAATGGCTTGGAGGACATCCTGCTCCAGGCCCTGTGTGGGGGTAGGAGTGGGCTCTTAGCCCTGGGGGCCAGGTGAGGGTACGGAGGCCAGAGCCAGCCCTGGAGGGAGCCTGGCGCAGACAGAGGACCACAACTGCTCTCAAAGCCTGGAATGCTGGAGGCCAACATAGCAAGATGAACTAGAATATAAATCAGGGTTCTCAAACTGCGTCACTCGGGAAGCTGGGCCACAGGGAGGGGCCCAGGCTTTATATATCGGGCCCCCGCTCGGGATTTTACCTATGGCAAGTCTCTTGGCCAAGTCATCTCTGAAAGTCTGGGCTCTGAAGCAAAAACACAGCCCACGGACCCCCAGTTTGAGGCCAGGAGTGCACACTTAGTCTATCGCCAGGCTTGGCTCGGATCCCAGGCTTAGATGCCAAGCAGGGAGCCTCTAGGGTCTGGAGCTCTGAACAAATCCCTCTGGATCTCGCTGACCCATCACAAAACCAAGGCCACACTCCAGGACAGCTAAGTCCTCAGAGAGCCTTCTGCAGGCCCTGGTAGCTGAGGACAGGCCAAAGGGATCTCCCCTCTACACCCGTGTTGCCAGCCCTCATCCCTTCTAGCTGTGAGAAAGGAATCCTCCAGAGCTGTGCTGGGAAACAGCAGTTCTGGGTTTGTGCAGAAGACAGACATAAGCGCAGAACCTGGCCCCTGCCCCAGATTTTGTGTTACCATCCAGAGCAACTCAGGGGTCTCCTCGACCCAGCCTGGCTAGCACAGGGTGGGGGGAGTAGGGGGCTGGCAACTGCAGGACCAGTCACTCCCACCCCTCCCTTGCCCTTGGCACCCATGGTCCATCAGGCACGGGGCCTCAGAACTAAGGTGGGATCACACCAGAGTGGGTTGGAGACGCTTCTCAGATGGGGACAGACAGATGGACTCAGAGGTCAGCAGAGCCCCCCAGGTAACAGGGGGTGTGTCAGAGGGCAGGAGATAGCAGACAGAAAAGGGGACAGAGAGAGAACTGCAGATGATGCACAGAAAGCAAGAAAGGTGGAGAGACAGAGAGAGAGGGAGAGAGAGAGGAAAAGAGAGAAGCAGAGGGAGACAACGCAGAAAGAAATTGAGATTCGGAGATAGAGAAGGGGAGAGAGTTGGAGGATGTGGACACACACAAGGGGAGGGTCAGAATGACACAGAGATAGCCAGGGAGACTGAGACGGAGGGAGATATGCAGCAAGAAACCAAGAGACAGAGAAGATGGTACCCTCTCTGCCCTCCCCAAACACCCAGCCCCAAAAGCCAAGGCAGGGGAGGGGCCTCACAGGCCCTGGGGGGAAGTGGGGGACCTTCCTTGGAGGCCTCCAACAAGCCCCCAGCCCCAGAGAGACTGGCTCTGATATGCTCGCTTCCAGACCCAGCAGCCCTGGTGTTTGGGGCTCCCACTCTCACCCAGACACTCCTGGATGCCAGGAGGCCAAGGGTCCAGGGCCCCAGGCCCATCCCCTCGGGTAAAGGCCACAGATGACATCTCCAAATTTATCCTGTTATTTCTGTCCTGAACTGGGCCGGCTTGGGATGCTTCCTACAGGCCAGAGACTAGGATGGGGCGGGGGTGTCTGGCACGGGGCAGGCCTGGAGGCTCTGGGCCCTCCTTCCCCCTGGGATCAGAATAGACCAGCGGGAGACAATGCAGCCCAACCCCCACACCAGGGCTATTCTGGGGGAAAAAGGAATTGGGGCTGCACTTCCAGTGGAAGGAAACAGGGGGGCCATGGCCACACCAGGGGAAGCCGTGGGGAAGTCCCACTTCCTTGCTAAGGGAGTAGCCCCCCACCCCAGGCTGGGGACAAGGAGGGCTCAGGTTCCCTCACTTTCCAAGAAAGGAAGTCTGAAAAGTCAGGGCCTGAGGCTGGTGGAAGGGGAGAGGGAGAGTAAGTGCCAGGGAGTGTCAGCAGGAGCTGGGAACTCTGGCGCAACGTAGATTGACAAAGGTGTTTTTGGAAGAGCTCAGGGGCTGACTGAGTACAGGACAGTAAAAGATATTGGGGTCTCAGGGCTTGTGTCACTTAGGGGGTGGGGGTGTCCACCGCTCCCTGGTCCAAGTGGGGGGGGGGGGGATGGGAGGGTGAAGACGTAGAAGATGGCTGGGGAAACAGAAAGCGCCCAGGGTTCCCGGGGGTCTCAGGGGTGGAAGCTGCGGAAGAGGAGGCAAGAGTGTTGGGATCCTGGTGATCCAGGCGAGAGGCCAATTAAGTCAGGGGTCTCAGGGACCTGGGAAACTGCTCAGAATCTGGTGTACTGGAATCTGGGGGCTGACTCTTGAATTGTATTCGGCTGGGGATTCAGATGTTGGGTCTGGGGGTCTCGGTCCCACTGTTAGGCTTTAGGTAGGTCTGGAGTCCTCAAGAGTTGGCTGTCAAGGGCCCTCTGTGGGGGGAGCGGGCTCTGAGAGTCCCAGTCCTCGCGGGGTCTGTCGGTCAGGTTCTCAAAGTCCTCGTCTGCTGGAGGCCCCGACCGGGCGGTGATGGAGCTCAGTCCAGGGGCGGCGGAGGCCGGGCCGGGGAGGGGTACACTCACCTGCAGGCGGCGCAGGTAGGCGGGCGGCACGTAGCCGGTCTCACCGCTGCGCGCCCGCGCCGCCAGCCACCAGTGCGCGCTGCTGCGCTCCAGCACCAGAAAGGTCTCGCCCGCGGCAAACGCCAGCGCGTTGGGCTCCGCCGAGCGGAACGCGTACAGCGCGCGGTACATGAGGCCGAGTCGCGCCGGGGCAGGGGAGACGGCGGGGGGCTGAGGAACCAGGACGCCAGGCCGGCACCTCCTCGCCGCGCTCGCCCTGCCCCGTGACACACGGCGCGTGCGCGCGCGCGCCCGCCCGCCCGCCGCAGTCCCGCCCCGGCAGTGGGTCGGCTCCTGCGCGGGAGCGCAGCGCCCCCTGGCGGCCCCAAGGTGGGGGGCGGCGCGGCGCGGCGCGGCCCTTTCTGGGGCCTTGGGCGTCTCCAAGCTCGACTCCCTGACCCGGCACCCCGCCTAGAGCCCCAGCTGCTCCTGCCCGGCCCTCCACTCCTTTTACCAGCTATTTCACGAAGGAGAGCTCCGCCCGCAGCCCAAAGGCAGAGCCTACGTCCTGTGCTGATAAGCCTCTTGCATCTATGCCACCCTGGGGAAGTGGATCCTGACCTACTAAATTAAGGACAGCGACCCGGGTCTCCTCTGTGTCTCGGAGCGTGCTGACCTCACTTCTTTAAGCTTCAGCGGTGGGCAACGGGGAGCAAGAGTGGAGAGGGGGCTGCCGAACCAAAAACCAGGTCAGGCCATTTTGCTGTCCATAGTCCTCCCATCCTAGCTCCCCACCTCTTCTCTCCTGCCACTAACCTCTCTGCCTCTCTAATGTGGGTCCTTGCATATCTATTCCTCTGCTTGTGACGCTATTCCCCTCCTCACAACATAAGGTCAGGCTCCCACCCTTATTGGTCACTTTCACATCACTCTCTTCTGTTGTCTTTGGAGACTTACAATTCCCAGTTATCTTACTTCTGAGAGCAGGTAGATGAGAGCTGGTGGATGGGGAGTGGGGTATCATGTGGCATTAAGAGCCAGATATTTGGCCCACCTTCCAGTCAGCCCTGACCTGGTGAGGTCATTGTAGTCCTATGAGGCAGCGGGGAAAAACCAAGGGGACCTGGGTTTAGTTAAACTCAGAGTCCTGGGGACCTCCCATCCCCGTCCAGAGGCTGGTCCAGCCACATTCTTCTCAGGAAGCCCAGACCCAGGGAGCAGGTAGGCATAACCCAGCCAGTGTATGCAATTGGATGATTTTGGATATAGTGGATGTAGGCATAGCGGACCTGGGAGGGAAGGTGCTGAGAGGTTCAGGCAAAAGGTGGGGCTGCTAGACCTGGACATCCAGATCCTCCTTTCTAGTTCTGTGTCCTTCTCCCACGTGCCTGTGTCAGCCGTTCAAGATCTCCTGCCACACTTCTCCCTGGAACCCTCTGAGAACAGAGCAGAAACAGCTCTCTTGGGGGCTGCCCAGGCTGGAACCACATGAAGGATAGCACTGGCGTAGCTGCAGTGGGCTCCAGGGCTAGGTAGGAGTGCTGGCAGATGGTGTGACCAAGAGGACCACACGGCCCTGAAGACCCCCTCCCGTCAAGCCCCCCACCTCCTGGGACCTTTACCACAGAGCCAATGGCCGCCAACAGACAAAAGACTGGTGGCCACCTGAGGTCCCAGGATTGGCTCCAGGATGCCTGACATCACAATGTCTAGCCAATCAGCTGCTGCCAGTAGCACAGGAGCGGGACCCAAGGCTAGGCACACCTGCTGTCCAACTCTGGCTGAAGCTACGTGAGGGCAGGGAAGACCTGTGTCAAGTGCAGTCCTCTGCATAAGCGTCCTGGGATGGACCCATTTAAGGTTATGCCTGTGGGCACTTGGTTAAGGGACTGAGGACTTAGCCAAGAGGCTATGGTGACTTCAGGGCGCATGGGGTGGGGGCAGTGGTAAGGAGGACACTGCTGGACCAGGGTGGAGGTTGTGGCATGTGTGACATTTCTGAGGGTTGGGAGGGGGGCTGGCTTCCAGCCCCCTATCCGTGGCAAGAACGACAGCAGCACTGTTACAGTTAACAAAAAGATTTGTATTAGAACATTTACACTCAGGGAAGAAAGAGGTATCTGCATCATCAAATGTGGAATGTCGAAGAAATAGTTAAAATAAATAAAGACTCCGAGCGCGGCTGGGGCTGGCTCAGGCTGGGATTCACAGAGGCCTCTGCGCATCAGCTCCAGGCTGCAGGGCCACCGCCTGGCCATACGGGCCGCCTCCCCGACACAGCACAGCTGTGCCCGGGACACAGAGAGTCTCTCAGGTGCTGGTGCAGCCAGTGAGCTCACTCCCCGCTCTCCTCACTTATCTCTGTGACAATGTCTATCAGGCTCTGGAGCCCAAAGATATAGCCAGCATCCTGGCCTTCGTGGACCACACTGTCCTCACCATACAGCCTGCACGTGGTGTGTGCAAAATCAATCATGCGCACATCCACTGAGCTGGTGCCGATGGGCTTGTAGGCATAGGCGCCGGCAGACTCGTCAGCGGACTCCTCTGACAGGTCCTCCAAGTCCTCCGCGTCTGAGTCCAGGACCACTTCAGGCCGCTCTTTGCCGTCGTAGATGATCAGCAGGGAGCTTGAGTAGAAGCGGTAGGATTCTTGTCGCTCCAGCACGCCCTTGAGTTCAGTCAGCTTCCTGAGTACCGGGCCCAGAAGCTCCCGGCGCAGGTACCGGCCATTGTGGAAAAACTGGAAAAGTGCCTCCTTGAAGCCCTGTACCGACAGCTTCCGTCCGTGGTACTTGTTCATGAACATGAGCTGCCCACTGCCCGCCTGGTACACCTGTAGGAGGGAGACCAGCAGGTCAGGGACTGACAGGCATCTCAGGCAGAGATGGCCCAGCCCCAGGAGAGTGGCAGCAAGACGACAGCCCTGGACCCGATCCTTCAACTTAAGTACACCAGTCACACGAGGCCCTGTCCTTGCCAATCAACACCCACTGGGATACAGCCCTCTGCTCAGGGTGTGGGCTGATGGAGAGTGCCCAGTGTCTCCCCTTTCTCCCTCTCTGGTCCACGGCTTCTGGACTCAGTCAGGTCGGCCAGTCCCAGAGAGCCTTACGCACGCACACAGGCTTTCCTTTCTCACCAGAGAGCAACAGATGAGTCACATCTGGAATCTCCCGAGAAGGGGGCTCTGCCGCGGGGCGAGTGCCCGCCCCCGCCGCGCGCCGCCGCGCCTCACCTGCATGCCGCACACGCGCACACCGATGACTGCCGACGTGCTCTGCTGGCACTTGCGGATCTGGTTAGCTGCCTTCTCCTCGGAAGCGTCGTCACCATGCTGGCGCGTCCCCATCTTGAGGTCCAGGACACAAGGCACCTCGTAACGGGAAGTCAGGTTCTCCAGTAAGATAAATTCTGAGTGGTTAAGGACAAGGCCCCTCTGAAAAAAAGGTGCTGCTCCATGGCACTCCCAGGGTGCAGGGCCTGCACATGGCATCCCAGAAATCCTGCTGTCTCCCAGGCGGGCAGCCCAGGGCTGACCAGAAGACTAAAAGGCACCTGCAATTCTTGCCAGGGAACTGGCCTGAGCGCAGCATGGGAAACATACACACCATTTCCTGAACTCAGCAAGATGTGGGACCACAGTCCAACAACATCCTGTCCTAAATCACAGAACATCAGTAAGTTCAGTAATCCCAATCTTAAATAAGAACTAGAAACATCACTTAGGAACTATTAAGTTTTCTCTTTTGAAATAAATATGTATTTCCCAGATGGGGACACTGAAAAGGCCGAAAACAATGACCAGATGTACGAGTTCCCCTGGGGCTTCCCAGGTGGTGCTAGTGGTAAAGAACTTGCCTGCCAAGTCAGGAGACATAAGAGACGCAGGTTCTATCCCTGCATCAGAAAGATCCCCTGGAGGAGGGCATAGCAACTCACTCCAGTATTCTTGCCTGGAGAATCCCATGGACAGAAGGGCCTGGCAGGCTCCAGTCCACAGGGTTGCGAAGAGTTGGACACAACAGAAGCGACTTAGCACAATGCCCAGCCCAGTGCTCCCAGAGCGTGGACTGGTGAACCACGGCCCCCCACTCACTGCTCTACAGCTGGTAAGTTAGGAACAAGGGGTTCTTAGAAATGCATTTTTTCTTTTTCTGGTCACATGGCCTGTGGGATCTGAGTTCCCTGGTTAGGGATTGAACCCAGGCCCTTGGCAGTGAGAGCATGGCATCCTAACCACTGGACCACCAGGGAATTTTCAGTTTTCATATTTTTAAGAGGTCAAAAGTGTATATAATTTTTCATGACACATGAAAGTTGAATGAAATTCAAGTCTCAGCAAACATAAATAAGAGTTTAACTAGAATACAGCCACGTTCATTCATTTACATCATCTATGGCTGCTTTCATGCTACAAATGACAGAGCTGTGATACAGTGTATGGCCTGCAAAGTCTATACTATCTGGCCCTTTACTGAAAAAGCTCGCAACCCCTGCCTTAGAGGAATGACTGAATTCACATCTGGAGTACGAAACATACCTGACCCTGTACCATCTCTTCATTCCAGAAAAGTAAGGCAGCTATCACAGACGACTGTGCTTGTGTAAAAATGACTCAGGAGCCTATTTAAAAAGACTCCCACTCGCCAAGCGTGGGACAATTGTAGCATCAGAGATAACTGCAATGAACTAAAACACGTCAAATATGTTTAGGGAATTCCCTGGCAGTCCAGTGGTTAGGACTTTCTACTTCCACTGCAGGGGGTACAGGTTTGATCCCTGGTCAGGGAACTAAGATCCCACATGCCACAGTCAAAAACTTAAACAAATTCATGGGTTCATGATGATGCAGAAAACCTCACTGGTTACCTTTGGAGGATGTTAAGAAACCATCTCATTATTTCAAATAATAAACTAAGGAAAATAAACATTTAACCTGCCTTTCCTATTTGAACTATACTTCATAATAAGCACGTAGTTGATGAGGAAAAGCTTCTCTTTACAGCAGGATTCCAGCTTGTGAATGAAAAAGGAATAACAAAAAACCACCTAATTAAAAAATGGATCTAAGGCAATGGCAATACAAAAGAGAAGGACGATGAAACTCTGCTTCCCAATCAACAGGTAAATACCATCTCTGATGGAGTCTTGCCCCCTCTCCCTCAAACTGACCCTGAATCTGATCAAGCCTGTAGATCAAATAATCAATTTAATGCAAACAGAGGGGAAAGAGTAATGTGTAAAAGACACCACAAGATGTAATCAGTAAAATCCAGAGGGTGGGTAACTCTAGAAGACCCAGTTTCTCTGACAAGAAATTTCCAAGAAGAAAAAAACAAATGTATTTTAAAAGACTTAAATGATTCAACCGAATGCAACATATGAACATAATTTGGACCCACATTCGAGCAAACCATAAATAAAACATTTATGAGACAATTAGGAAAATGGGAAAACAAATTAGATATTTTTGACAGTAAGGAATTACTGTCCACTTTTCAAGGAGTAATGATAGTATTAATGTTTTAAAATATCTTTATCTTTTAGAGATACATGCTGAAGTGTATAAAGATGAATTCTCTGACACTTGCTTCAGAGAGAGTTCAATTGGGGGTGCTGGGTGTATAGACACAGGAGACTGACATAAGTGGGTTAACCAACTGCTGAAACTGGGTGACTACTAGGTTCAATGCATTACTCTATAGTGTACATCCAGGTTCCCTGATTGAAAAAAAGAAAGGAACCTTTCTTTCCTTTGTGATTTCTTCATGTGGCAGCCTGGTAAACCAGACTGAAAGATCAGTCCAACCCCACCGCACACCCTGGCAATTAAGCTCTACTTGGGGACTTCTGCAAGTGTGTGAAAACATAAAGCAGCTCCTTGTACTCCAAGGTAAAGCACCCCGAATGCAAGTTGGTCCCTCCATGAGGTGACTCTCACCCCCAGGAACCCATTAAACTTCCTCACCAGCACCTGCATTCCCAGACCAGTCCTCAGCCCAGAGGGAAGTGATGCCTGCCCAGTTATCACACAGGGTGTCCTGGCACAACCATGACTTGAAAAAATCCAATTTCTCTCTCCAAGCCTGAAGGGTCTCCTCCCTTGTCCTCCCCTCCCCCCCCAATGCAGAGATGTCCTACGAGCAAAGGATACTGTACTGGTTCCGATGTTTCGCATTCTCCTTCATTCTCTGTAACTGTTGCTGGTGACACTTCATGCTCCAAGGGTTGTAGTGTTTAAGCTGAGAACTTACATTCCCCTTTTTCTCTACACTGTAGTACAAAACTTCAGATTTCTTCAGCCACTCAAATTCTTCTTCTAACTTATGGCTATAAAGAGACAAGCAGCTGATAAGTCATAACATCTCATCAGACAGAAGTCAGGGGCAAAGAGGCATGAAGGAACTTTCTGCAGTGATAGGAACTTTGACACTTTGATGTGGTGGCTGTTTCAGTGGACACATTAAACATTTCAAATGGGTACATTTTACTGTAGTATATCACATCTGAAGACAGGTGATTTAAAAAAAATTAAGGGGTTAGCTTGCTGCTTTAGGAAAACCTAAGATGCAAGGACAGCCCCTGCCTCCAGCCCACACCCCACAAGACAGCCTTCCGTGCTCCCACCTTCTAGGCAGTACCACTCCCTGGCTTCTAGTACATCCAAGTTCCCTAACTCAGGACGCTGGAGACAGAGGCTGAAGTGAAATTTCATGAGAATAAGTCAATCTACTTGGCTACACTTTTAAAAAGCAAAATTATCTCTGGGTGTGCTCTGTGGGCTTTTCTCTGGTTGTGACGAGCAGGGGCCACTCTCCAGCTGCAGCACACAGGCTCCCCTTGCGGTGCCTTCTTGTGCTGCATAGTGCTGGCTCTAGGGCACGCAGGCTCAGGAGCCGTGGGCACTGGGCTCAGCTGCTCTGAGGCCTGTGGGATCTTCCCAGACCAGGGATTGAACCTGTGGCTCCTGCACTGGCAGGCAGATTCTTTATCAGAGCCACCAGGGAAGTCCTTAGCTACGTTTTTAATACATATACATACATAATTTATCTTCTCATAAGCTCTGTCAAGGTGTACCACTTGGGAGGGCTCTGCCTAGGGGGATCCCCAAGATGCATCCATTCTGTCTCCCACTATCAGGGAACAATCCGCGGTAACGGATGGCTTCTGTCTGGGTCCCTGCTACATTCCCAGATGCCACGCAGGGCCTGGCATAGGACAGTTGCAGGAGGAAAGAGTGGCTGAAACTCTCTCACAGCTGCCACGACACTTGTTTTACCCGAAATGGCGCAATCTAACTCAGAGTCAAGCAAAAAGCAGCTGGGCACGCCATGTGGGAACGGACCCCAGAGTGACAAGGCACCTACCAAGTCCATCATGTGAGTCCTCAGCCCCGGGGGATGGGCTATGCCTGAGATCCCTCCCCTCCTCCCGAGTCCAGTCCCCTCTCAAGTCTATACCCACCTCTTCACCTTTTCCTCTTTCCGGTGTTGCCGTACCCATTCCTTAGAGGTCTTGTCCGTTTCTAGAACGTGATGTTTTTTGTTCGTCCACCTGAGCAGCTTACTTTTTGGTTCACAGTCTGAATTATCTACACTGTCCACAGTTCCATGGTCCCCTTTTAATGGATATGCTATTAAACACAAGTTCCTGTCTTCATCTTCTTCGAAGCTCACGGATACCACACCTAGAAGAAGGGTGAGGAACATGGAAGACTTTCAGTTCCACAGGAATATGTGTTACAAATAACATGATTGGAACATTTGTTTTTTTCTTACCCTGTTCCTTAGTCTCTATGTTGCCAGAGGCCCCAAACTCATCTGCAAACCTAACAAATATCAAAACAGCTAGAAAAGATGACACCATACAAGACAAGCGATTAGGGAGCAAACATGGCCAAGAGTCTTCCTCTATGATTCACTCAACGAGGCAAGAGCCAAAGAATTACAAGACACATTTTTCCATCAATGAAAATTTTTATTAATTTTTATGTAATTCTTCTAATCCTAAGAGACATGAGGACATTTGCTTTTTAAATCTTGTGGGATTTTTTTACTACCTTAAACAGAATCTCCGACGGCCTTTAGGCTTGCTTTAAAGCAGAGCCTGAACAGAGATTTGCCTGAGGGGTAAGAAGTATCCGAGGGTAAGGGAAGACTGAGCAAGCAAAACAAAATAAAGGAGCAAACACAACAAACCACACAGCACAAGACACCCTGGCAAAGGCTTCTTGCAGCGCCCCCACACGGTGGGCACCCCAAGCCTTTTGTCCTTCTCAAATATATTCCTTTATTGGTCTTTGCAGTCTCATGTCACAAAAGAACAGGATGAACACAAGGAAAATGGGGTTGGGCTAGGAGCACAGATGCGTAGTGGCCTTGAAAGCAGCTCTCCCCGAGTCTCTAGAACCTGCCATGTGTAATGAGACAGTCTTTGAGGAGGGGGCTGTCGGGTGGGAGGGTTTCAGCAGGTGCCGACGAGTGCCTTAAAACCGACTGGCTGAACACCTTTCCTTCCAGGCCTCTCTGGCCTGGAATCACTCAATTTGCTCAGTTCTTGCTGCCCGCCCGCTTGCTCGCTTGCTGCAAGGGAATGCGTGCTTAGAGAGACGACGCTTCTGAGGTGGTACCCAGCTCTGGGCGCAGAGGAGCTGGGGTGGGGAGTTCAGGGGACCACACTTTCCTGTGGTGGTAAAGAACCAGGGAAAAAATGGGGGCAAGGGCAGCCAGCTAACAAGGGACCTTTGGCTCTGTCCTGGAAAAAACAACAGAGAGGACCAAGTGAGGGCCCCAACTCCCCCACCCCCACAAAGCACCATGCATATTCAGAGTACAGAGAGGCGACTCTAACATTCTATCCTCAAGGAATATGTTTCAGCAGTCCCCAAAGAACCCAAGTTGTTCAGGAGTCTTTTGCGTAAGCAGGCAATGCAGCTTTACAATTAATTTCCTGAAAGGATTCTTCCTTGATTTACAAAGGATCCCCCCCTCCCCAGGAAAGACCACATCATGCTGATTCCCCCAATTATAAAAAGGAAGAGAGTCACCATATGTGAATCAAAGGGTTGCCGTAATATAGCAATTTCGGGGACATTCCGTAATAGCAAAGGGCTTCAACTAATCAGCACAAGCCTCCCACTCCTGCGTTCCATCTGACTCAACCCTGCTCCCAGCCTACCTAATCACCCGGGCTTCTGGTTTCCTGAAGGACAAAAAGCAGGCGGTAAGTATCCTGGGTAAAATCCTCTCAAAGTCTTCCCCAATGTCCCGTCATGGGGGACTATGGGTTACCGTGATCAAGAGACACCTGAACATAAAACACAACTACACTTCCACCAAAAATAAACTCAAAACAAACACACAAAACAGAATTGAGCAATCTTACCAGGGCTTGAAAACTGAGGGTGTGAGGTGCTGGGCGGAGGGCCAAGAGGAGGAGGAGGGAAAACACAGAGTGGGTGGGAGGGGTGAGGGTTCCCGGGATGGCTGCCCGGACCTCCTCTGGCCGCGACGCCTCGCGTGTCCTCGCCAGGCGCAGGCGACCCCTAAGGCAGCTGGGGGCTCACCTTTGTATTGGGGAGTGAATTTGCGCATCTCAGCTGGGAGAGTCTCGTAGAACTGGTGCTCCCTGGGGACCAGGGGCTTGCACAGGGTCGTCTCGTTGAAGCGGAGCACACACGAGTGCCCCCCGACCTGGTGGACAAAGGGTTCCAGCAGGATGCCCTTGTCGCGGGGCTCCACGTCCATGGCCCTGAAGGCTGGGCTCATCCTCCAGGTGCGGGCAGCAGGGAGAAGGGGGGGCAGCGGGGTCCAGCGGCCAGCGCGTCCTCCGTCTGTCGTCTGTCCGTGCGTCCGTCTCTCTGGCCTCAGCTCCGCGGCTGTGTGGGCCAGGACGCTCTAAGGAGAGTGAAAACGGACTTGGAAACAGCCGAGCACCGCCTCAGAGGCGCTGGCCGTCCTCTTCCAGCAGAAAAGACAAAACAGCCTGAGCTCCCGCGGAGGCCCGCCCACACCGCCCACTCGGCCCCGCCCCCTCCCGCAGAAACAAACAGACGCCGAGGTCCCGGGCGGGGCCGGATGGCGACTGGCAGGGACTGGCTGCGAACCCGAAACAGCTCCAATCACCCCCACCAGGCCTTAGAAGGCCACTACCACGGAGCCACGATGAGGTAAAATCACAATTTCAAACCTAGTGGTCGCATTAAATCTTACCATTTTCTACTACAATTGTTAGAGTAATTGACATCCAAGGCTCTCCGTTAATTAATATATTTTAATAGACTTTATATTTTACAGCAGTTTTAGGTTCATGACAAAACTGAGAAAATACAGAGGTTTCCCACATACCCATCTGTCCCACACATGCATAGACAGCCTTCTCCATTATTAATGTACCACTCCTCCATCAGAGTGGTACCCTGGTTACATATGATGATGAATCTATACTAACACAGCATAGTTTACATGGTGGTAACAGGGCTCCCTATTGGTCGTTATTTATGTTTTTATTAAATGCATTTAAAAGGAAACCTGCTTATGCACCACCTAGTAAGATTACCCACCATCCGCCCACCACAGGTGTGCGCACTGTCCCCGCTCAAGGCCAAAGACAAGCCCCATTAACCTTATTAGCAGTGGAGCTTGGGCCCAGCTTTAATGATTAACCTCTGTATCTAAAAACAACAGATCACACTTGCTAACTCCTTTGAAAAAGATACACAGTGTTCTAGGTCACAGACTATTTTTATTGGTTCTCTCCCTATCTCCAAAAGCTGGGGCACACCTTTAAACCAAAGCTGCATTCTTGGGACACTTGTCCAGAGGTCCAGGAACTTCGGATCCCCAAGCACACTGGATCTCAGCAAAGCACACCTCCACGCATTAGTGAGCCGTTTCAGGGTATGTCAGGCTCACTCTGTTTTCTGTCTAGAATTTACAGACTACACAGTGCTACTAGCAATACTAACAGGTGGGCTTGGGCTCTATTTCAGTATCTATAAGGGGTTCTTACTGGGACATGACTCCAAATGAGATGGTGGTGGTGGTGGTGAGAATGGGTCGGATGCCCATTTGCCCACTAAGGTGGGTAAAGCACCAACTCTGTGCTAGGTTCACTGCAGGGACTTAATCCGATCCTCTGGATACTTTCTGTGAGGAAGACATTATTCTCCCTGTCGGAAACAAGGAAGTTGGTTGGAGGACCTGAGGAAACTCATCCAGGGCTAGAGCCAAGAAGCTGGAGTTTCCAAACAAACTTCAGTTTGTTGGCTGTCCCTCCACAGCTGCCTCTGGGGCCAGGGTCTCTGGCACATGTGCTTTGGTACAGCACTCAGATGTACATGGGACACTTAGCTTGTCCTGTGATAGTGTTTTCACCGTGTTTTTATATTTTCTATTTATAAAACAGCCTCTTTCAAAGAGTTTGGCTGGTGTTTCTCTTTTCCTTTCAGAGAGAACTGACAGTGGGCTCCCACTGGACTCAGGGATTAAAAATCAATATGCTTTCCTATATGCAAAGAGCAGAAAATCAAAGGTTCTGATATCTCACACCCGGCACTACCTTCTCATTACAGAAGCCCTCAGGAGGGCAGGTGCTGAGAAGAGTCCCAAGACACAACACAGGTGATCAGCTAGAAGGATGAGTACCTTCCAGCCATTCCAGACTCTCTACAGAAGGTGGAGCTCTGAGATGTGTGGCCACACAAGCCCTTTAGATTTATAGAGACCTATTCACACCAGTTTTTCAGTAATGAAAAAGACATCTGGAGTAAGAGCAACCCCAAAGGAAAGTTACTGACTCATGATCAGTCTGCTGGTACCCAAGAAAGAACTAGGTACCATAATTATTAAATTATGAAAGCACAAGATGTTCTTCATCGGCCAGGCTTTAGAAACACAGTTCAAACCTTTCATAAATGTGAAAACTCTTTTTGTTGCCACAGCAATGCTAACACCAAATGCCTAACACCCTTTCTAATAACTGTTCAAGATTCCTTAAATATATTAAAAAAAAAAAAAAATCTCTCTCCAGGCATCTCTCTTACTCATTCCCCACCTCCAGTGAAAAGTCCCAAACAGTAACTGGTCCTTCATGGCAGCTCTCTGGAGTATGGTTCATGGGTGTGGCTGGAGGCTGAAAAGCCCAGTGAGGGGCTCCACCTTCTCCCAGGTCTCCCGTGTGTTCATTAGTGGCTGGAACCTTGGCACCCTCCCTCCAGCACCCAACTCAGGCACTTCTCAGAACACTGCTCCCTGGAGAAGAATCACCACCCTGCGGAGTGGCAAGAAAACGAAGTCCCTTTCCCGCCTGTGCCAAGTCTGATGACGGAGGAAAGCCCTACATGGCAGAACCGGGGAGAACACTGACCCTGTAGTAAGGTGGAGCCAGATTCCGGCCCCGGTTCTGCCATTTCATCTCTTGGAGAAAGACCCCCGTGTCACCGGCTCCCTTTGGGTCCCAGGTTTCTGGTCTCTACGGTGGGAAGGAAGACTTGGGGCAGACATCTACTCTGAGGGCCTCCCTGGTGGCTCAGTCGGTAAAGAATCTGCCTGCAGCGCAGGAGATGCGGGTCCAATCCCTGGGTCAGGAAGATCCCCTGGAGAAGGAAATGGCAACCCACTCCCGTATTCTTGCCTGGAAAATTCTACGGACAGAGGAGCCTAGTGGGCTACACAGCCCATGAGGTCACAAAAGTCAGACACAAGTTATCAACTAAACCACCACCAGATATCTACTCTAAGTGTGGTATAATCCAATTAGTGAGTGGCAACCAGCAGTATGTTTTAATCAAACAGGAAAAAAAAAAAAGAGCAAAACCCATTTCATCGCAGATAATAAGGTAAGGCCTGTTTTCTGATTCTTTTATTTCAATCATGTTCAGCCTCTCAATTTGAAGATAACTGTGGCTTCACTGTACAACATATTTCTCACATTGGGGATGCAGAGAAATGGAGCATTTGTTCTAGGGTCCCTGAAAGATTGCATGCCTGTGGGAAAATGAAGGAGCAATTTCCCAATGATTATACCATAGATCAGAGAAGGAAATGGCAACCCGCTCCAGTATTCTTGCCTAGAGAATCCTGTGGACAGAGGAGCCTGGTGGGCTGCTGTCTATGGGGTCGCACAGAGTCGGACACAACTGAAGCGACTTAGCATGCATGCATGCATTGGAGGAGGAAATGGCAACCCACTCCAGTGTTCTTGCCTGGAGAATCCCAGGGGCAGAGGAGCCTGGTGGGCTGCTGTCTATGGGGTCGCACAGAGTCGGACACAACTGAAGCCACTTAGCAGCAGCAGCAGCATACCATAGATCAGCTTCTTCTCTAGTGGCTTCAACCTGGTCAGAAGAAAAGAAAAATGCCCCAAGAACCTGCTGCATTTCACGGCTACTCTTTTCCCACGTGTGGTTTGAGCAGCTGGGTCTCTTAAAGGTTTTTCAACATCTGAGTAGTCTAAGGCCTGGTTTCCCAGGAATCCTAAAACATTAATGGTTACTAAAAAGTCCATGTGATGAACCCTGAATCTAGTGTGAAAGGGAATAACCGGAAAATACTGACTTCATGCTTAGCATCTGTTTTAGTTTTCCACATTGCCTCACATTTGTCCACAAAACTAGCAATCGGTGAGAAATGCAGAACGTGATTCATCCTAGGATACGACACATATTTCCCCCACAGCTCATGCTCCTAAACCTGTTTAAGGTTCTGCTGCAAACAATGTCTTAATAGTCTTATCCTTTAAAATACTGAAAATAAAACAACTAAGACCCTTGGGCCCTTAGCTCACACATCTAGAATTTGGTTAATGTGGGAGGCTACAGACGGGATCTGCTGGGGCCACTTACTCTGCCTCAAGAAAAGCCCCAGGGTTGAGCAGTCACAGGGGACAGCAACAAAACAACCTTTACCAGCTGAACCTCCGCCATGAGCCTCAGAGCCAGTGCCCACGTCCATTTACAACCCATGACTACACCACCAGTCAGTCACTGTAATTCTCAAACACTGTTGGTAGGAAAAAGAAGTACAGCCACCACAGAAGACAGTTTGGCAGTTTCCTATGAAGTTAAACATATACTTATTATATGACTCAGTAATCCTACTCATAGGTACTGACCTAAGAGAACTGAAAACAAATGTCCACATAAGGACTTGTACTCGAATGTTCACAGTGGCACTATTCACAATAACCAGAAGGTGGGGAAAACCCCAGTGTCCATCAAATGGGGGAATTAATAAACCAACTGTGATGTATCCATATAATGGAATATTATTCAGCAATAAAAGGAATGTACCGATATACACAACAACAAAGATTGATCACAAAAGCATTATGATTAACTGAAAAAAAGCCAATCACAAAAGAATGTATGCTGTATGATTCCATTTACATGACATTCAAGAAAAAGCAATAGCAGAAAGTAGATAAGTAGTTGCCAGGGGGCAGAGGGTAGGAGAACAGGACCAACTGCCAAGAGGCCCAAGAGAACATATGGGGTAATGAAAATGTTCTATGCTGTGACTGGAACAGTGATTATATGGCTGGATAAATTTGTCAAAACTCATCAAATTAGAGACTTAATGTCAATGAATCTTAACTGTATATAAATTATATTTCAATAAAGAGCTTGAATTTTTCCTTATACTTTAATTTATAAAAATTTCATAACAAGTACAAATTAAAATAATCAGAAAAGATTGCAGTTAAAAGACCCTATCAGCTGACAAATAGTTTCTACATGCAAAGGCACTAGCTGGAATTCATCCCCTATCTACCCTCCTATCTATTCTAACTGGGCTCACTTGCCTCCACTGAGCATCTTGAGTCACTCATGCCAAGCAAGGTAAGTCTGGGCCGCCATCTTGGTCAAAGTAACGCCTTTGCCCTTTCTGTGAGGGTGCTCCCTGAGGGTAGAGACTTTCAGGGACAGCCATGTTCTCTCTTAAATCCATGACACCCACTGCTAATCCTGAAGCCATCTGGTCACCTTCAAAGCCTAGTTTTTAGCAGGCTTTTACTCTTAATACTAAGAGTGAAGAAGGAAATGGCAATCCACTCTGGTATTCTTGCCTGGAGCATCCCATGGACAGAGGAGCCCAGCAAGCTACATTCCATAGTCATAAACAGTTGAACTGGCTGAGCACGCACACACAGCTAATACTAGGAGACCTATACCAGTTGCATGGTTATCTTTTTTAATTTTTGTAAAGTCAAAGCAAAAGCATCCTTTACACACAAATAAGCAGAAGAGACGCAAAATGGTCCAATAAGCCTTTCAGTACAACACCCATCACAAAAGAAAGATCAACAGCAAATCTGCTTCAATTATCCTGGCTTTCCTGTTATTTCTCAAACATGCCTGATACACACCTACCTCAGGGCCTCTGTTCTTGCCATGCCCTCTGGATGGTACACTCTTTCCCAGATATCCCCCTGGCCTACTCTCTTACCTCCTTCAGCTCTCTATCCAAACATCACCTCTTTAATGAAGTCTTCCTTAGCCACCCCATCTGAAAGTGCCATATCACCCCATCCAAATGCCTTACACAACTCAGCTTTATCTTCTCCTCAGCACTTATCACCATCTAACATACTGTATATGTTTTATTTGTCCTGTTCACTTTCTGTCTCCTCCACTCTGACCCACCAGAAAACCAAGTCCATGAAGTCAGAGATTTTTGACTGCTCTGGTTACTGCTCAATGTCCAGAGCCCAGAAGAGCCCCAGCACAGAGTCAGCACTCCATAGGAGGTGCCTCAAATCACTTCTAAGAAAACTTGAAAGGCACCTGCTGCAATGATCCAAACCCACCCCACCCATATAGGGAGTACAACCATTACATAGCCACACACTTTACCAAATGCATTCTCAGCATCGACTAGGTGTTAATTTTGCATTTATAATCTCCCACCGTATTAAGTCTGCATTAACCGTGACATGTAAATGAAGGGCCCTGCCCCTGAATACTCATCTGGGACCTGCTGCTGTGGAACCGTTTAACATCAACAAAGCCAAAGCTCTTAATCTAATAAGAACCCAACCTCTTGGAAAATTCTCTCTCTAGAAAATCAGGCAAAAGCATAGTCACTGAAGAAAAAAACTTTAAAATATGGATACAAGAAGATTAAAATCCTCTCATCATTTACAAATATACTAATTAGCATTCAGAAATTCTGTGTTAGCATTGAGTTGACATCGCAAAGACCCAGCTTTCAGGTTCCTAAGTTATCACTGAAAAAAGTAACACTGACTCACAGGGCTCATGGCTGTTCATCTATTACCAAGGCCCTAGAGTCACTGCATAAAAAAAAATATTAAATTTTTAACCACAGGATCACCAGGGAAATCCCTATGTGACTTTTTTATAGAAAAATTATGACACTGCTGTCATAAAATGAGGCAGTCAACACACTGCCCTGAAAGGTAGGGGGAAAAGTACTGTAGTATTAGGACTGCCCTAGAGGTCCAGTTGTTAAGACTCCACACTTCCACTCAGGGGGTATGGGTTCAATCCCTGTTCAGGGAACTAAGATCCCACATGCCACTCAGCAGAGCAAAAAAAAAGTAGTACTGGTTTTTTAATGTATGACTTTTTTTTGGTTTTCTTCTTTCAATCCAAATTTACTTTCTTACCTTACTGGTGTTTTTTTCCTTTTTTAAATTGGCATATAATTGATTTACAATGTTGGGTTAGTTTCAGATTTACAGCAGAGTCAATCAGTTATACATATACACACATCCACTATTTTTTAGATTCTTTTACCATATATGCCATTACAGGTTACTATGCAGAGTTCCCTGTGCTACACAGCAGGCCCTTATTACTTATCTATCTCATATATAGTAGTATATATATATGGCAATCCCAATCTCCCAGTTTATCCCTCCCCTCCTCTCCTTACCCTTGGTAACTCTAAGTTTGTTTTCTTCATGTGTAACCCTATTTCTGTTTTGCAGGTAACTTCACTTTCTTACCTTACTGTTTTCATAACTGTAAATTCTTTTGTTTAAAGATGGATGATACTAAGTGGTAAGATCATTATTCCCTTCTCTTCAGTTTCCTGAATGCTCCAAACTTCTTGAAATTTTCTAAAACTCAGAGCATGTCTATTACCTTTATAACTGAGAGTGAAAACATTAGGAGGAAGAACAAAAGAATTCACTATGACCAAAACAGAAAAACGCAGATGGCTGCTCAGCTCTTGAAGATTATGAAATCATCCACAAAAAAACACTGATGCCGCCCACACTGCAAGCTCACAGCTCTGCTCCACGATGGAGACACTGGGAGACCAACCACATGTAAACAAGTGAGGATGATAACCCCAATAAATCCTGCCCCCAAAGTGTGTACAAGGTGCTGAAAGGTCAGAGGAGGAAGTGACCAACTTAACCTTCAGTGACGATGGGACACAACCATGCCAGAGACAAGAGCTACTGTTTACCAAGCACTTAGTCTGTTCTGTAACTCCTTCCCTCCTGCAACAGCCTTCTGGAGCAAATACTAAGATCACTCCCCTACACATAGCTGCACTGAGGCACCAGACCACCTAGGCCTCATCATGGAAAACAAGATGTTCTTTGAGATGAACTCAGTGAGATGAGTCGCTGCTAGGAAGGTAGAAGGGTCACCCTCATGTCACAGTAAGCAGTGGCTCCATCAAAGAACACAGCAGGGCTGGAGAGACAACACAGAATCCCTGCAACTGACTTGACACACATACCTGGGGTCCAACACCAGGTGTTCATTCCCCCCATTAGCATCTTCTAGTTTTAATAAAGGAGAAACTACAAGTTGTAAGTGTATTTCATGACAGTCACAACAATGCAGATCCTTCCACCAATTCTGAGGAAAAAATAAAATAGCAGATTCTGTCCCAAAAATGCAGACAAACTTTTCCATAAGGCAAAGAGCAGCCTCTCAGAGGCTTCTCTGAGGATCACACTGGTTCATCTCTTTGCCTCATCAGACCAAATTTCTGGAATGAAAGACTTGAGGGCCCCAAGATGGAGGGGGGACAAGGGGAAGGAGCTTTCAGCCAACCCAGAAATATGTTTATCAGTTACAATGCCTGAATGACAAAGTTTGAGCAATTTTAAAAGTTTTTCAAGCTAAAACTGGGGCACTGCTCCTTTAAGAAAATCTAAATTATTGATTCTAAGGTGTCGCATGTCCCCTTTACCAAAATATCAAATTTACTTATATTCCATACACAGACCAAGAATCCTCAGTCCTCCTTAAAAAGCCTGTTACCCCTCTTCAAGGGCCATTTTCCATCTGGCACCTCCTCCTTGTAACTACAACTCCCACCACCGTGTAGGCAACATACCCAACAGGAACAACAGAAGTGTTGCTTGAAGACTCTGGCCAAAACTGGTCTTGATCTATGGGGGACTTTCCTACCCTGACTCATGGTTCTCTCTTGTGCCAGTAAAGCAACAGCCCACTAGCTTCAGGCAGGATCACAGGCTCCCTGCCTGCGGTCAGTGTTTACCCTGCTCATTTCTCAGCACTTCCCAAACCAGATGACACATGAACCCATTTTCTGGAACAAACGGTGCCAAAAACGGTTCAGTCCTCATGGGCAGCCACAGAGCCCAGGCGGCCCCGACCTGCGCAGGCCAGCACAGTGAGTGCTGTACCTGCTGGTGGAGGAACCAAGGTGTGCCCTGCGCCACACCATATCCCGTGCTCGGAGGGCAGAGATTCCTCTGGGTCTTCACAATACCTCGTTCAGGTAAACGCTCCCCTCAAGGGTATGCAAAGCGTCCCACGCTAACACTGACTTTGGGGCAATATAGCAGCTTTGGACGTCCCTGGTGGTCCAGTGATTAAGAATCCACCTGCCTAAGCAGGTGGCCCGGGCTCAACCCCTGATCCGGGAAGATTTCACATGCCGAGGGGCAGCTAACTCTTACTGAGTAAGTGGAAGTCCCCAACCTCCAATCTCCCATATGGAAACTGGCAAAATGGTAAAGGGCTACAGCCTCTCTGGTCACAAGGCAACTGTTTCTGGAGGATACCACTACAACTGACAGCAGGACTAGCTGGGCAGCAATGACCTGCTTTCTGTCTCCAGTTCTGGGGTGGGACGCAGTGCAGTGGGGTCCTTTCAAACAAGCCAGTGTGCGAGGACTCTCGGGAAGGTGGGTGGGTCAGCGGGGAGGGAGCAACACTGCAGGTGGGGGATACAGGGTTTCTTTGAGGATGAATTACATGGGATGTGAACTGTATCTTAATAAAGCTATAATTTTAAAATATCAACGCAATAAAAGGGCCGCACTGCAGAGGTCACAGCCAGCTTGGGAGAAAGTTCCAGTGACAATGTCCACACTGAGAGGAGTAGACAGTATTTAAGAGGAGAGCACCTCCAAATGTGGCCACGGGAATGGCAGAAATGCACACAGGCAACTTGGAGAACCAATTCATGACCAGTCAGGGAAGCTGCTCAGTCGTGTCTGACTCTGCAATCTCACGGACTGCAGCCTACCAGGCTCCTCCATCCATGGAATTTTCCAGGCAAGAGTACTGGAGTGGGTTGCCATTCCCTGTGTGGATAAAAAGCGTAACTTCTGAAGGAAGTTATTTATTTATAAAGAGATAATAACTAAACACGTATGTGCAGTTAAAAATAAATATTACAAGAAATCCAACTTTCAATACCTCTCTGTAAGCGGTACCAAAAAATTCTTTTTAAAATCTTCTCCCTGACATACCGGGGCCCGTCTGATACTTGGGTCCACACGGTGCTTCCCTTACTCTCAGTGCCTGTCTTTACCTGTAAACCAAGCACAGTAATTTTAAGGAGGTACCATGAGATGGGAACAAGATTAAAAATCGAGCCTCCGGCCTGGTGTGGGTAATGCACTCCTCAAACGTGAGCTATCCTCTGTCCACTGTCCCAGTTCCTACAGAAAGTCCAACGGGAGATGGAGGTCAGAGGATGGACTTGACAGTGTAAGTGGGTAAGGGCATGCTAAGCCTGCACTGGTGGAGGGGGGAGGGTGAAGACAGGTGTAACAGGTAAAGGAACAGAGTGCCAAAGGACATCCTGTTCATTTCTTATAAAAGAGACTTTTCAACTGGTTACAAGTGTGATAAAATGACCACCATTGTTAGTTTGAGGTCTCTTCATCCTGTCGATTTTCTTCAGTGCACTTTTCTATTCTTTCCAGAAACAGGATCAGGTTATATGCGTTGTTTTGCCTTTCTTCCCGCCAGTAAAATCAGCTTTATTTTTCTCACCTAATGTTTAAAAACTACTGATAAAATACACACAATATAAAATTTACCTTTTTAACTATTTTTGGGTAGACAGTTCTCTGGCGTTAAGTACATTCACAATGTTGTACTATAATCACCACTATCTCCAGAACTTTTTCATTATCTCAAACTGAAATTCTATACACATTAAGTAGTAACTTTCCATTCTGCCTAGCCCCTGGCCCCTGGCAACCACCATTCAACTTTCTGTCTCTATGATTTTGAGTAAAATTATTCAACATTTGTCTTCTGTTTTGCCACTTTTTTCCCCTAACTGAACTATATGACTTAGACAGCCTGCTACATCTATCTATCTATGATTCCTTTTAAAAGCTGTGTAATAGTCACACAAAATTGTAATGTATTTATCTACTTCCCTACCGACACTATTTCCAACTTTGAAATTACAATAATAACGTAGTGAGCATGCTTCTATCTTGTCTTTGCATACTGTGAAGTATTTCTGTAAGAAAAAGTCCTAGAAGTAAAACTGCCACTGGGACAGAGCATAGATTTTAAAAGATTGCACCTATTCTTTCACTCTGAACTGATCCACAAGGTATGTGAGCTACTGGATTCTGGAGCACTGCTGTGACATTTTATATCGGAAAATTGTCTCAAGGAAAAACCTGGCTTCAGAGAGGTCCAGCTGGTCACTACTACAGTGACATGAGTGGAGGGATGGGGGCAGCAGGAACCAGCATTTACCGGGAGCCTGTCTGCATTCTTACCTAAGGAACAAAGGAAGAGATACCAATCCTCTTCATATTTATTAGAAGCTCATGTGTAAAAGGGGATCAAAAGAAGAAAAATCCTTAAGCTTTTAAAGAAAAACTGTGAGTGCCTTAGAAAACTCTCTCTCATGCTTCTCTGTCATGTTTCATACCATAGAAATATTTCAGGTAACTTTGTAAGCTTATGAATTTAATATCTGGTTACTAGAAGATGTCAAAACTAAAGGTGAAAGAGAAGGAGGCAACACACCCTCCCACCCTCCCAGCCCCAAGCTTGGGAGTTCCCCGGAGGGAGGATATGACAGCAGGAATAGCCACCACCCCGCAACAAATAGAGCTGTGATCCCCAGGAGGCCATTAGGACTGCAACCAAACTGATCTCTCCATCATCTCCCCGACTGGGCTTCCTCCTCTTATGAATCTCTCTGCATCTGTTTGTCCCAAGAGGGCAGGTGAGAAAACATCCTGACAGCCCCCAGGCTCTAGGGCCACTAAGACAGCAGAACTGCCATCTCCAGACACCCATCTCACCTGGAGTGACCTCATTAACGTCATTTCCCCGACTCAGTGGCACACATGGCAGGGCACAGGGCCTCCTGTCTTCTCCACTGCACCCACAGAGCCCAGCCCGCACAGGGGAATTAAGGAAGGAGGGGGAGAAGATAGAGAAGGATCTGGTGGAGGGTGAGGCATAGCATGCTGTCCTTAACCCTTGAGGGGGCAGCTGACCCCCGAGAAAACCTGAGACAACTGTAGGCCTCTGTCCTGAAAATGCATACCCTCCCAGAACTCTGCATATGATGCGTGGGGCTAGCAAGCACAGACCCTCTCTCCAGAACCCCTAATACAGGGAATCAAATTACAGGAATGAGTCAGATACTGAGTCTTCAAAACAAGTCAGAACAAGGATGTTTTGTTCATCAAGTCAGATACAGCTGGAAGATGTGAGTTGACCTGCCAACAATTAAACATAAGGGATGATCAAGCCATCAAGAAGAAATGTACAGCAGGTAATTGGTAAGGTGGGAGTGAAGCCTAAGTGAACATAACTTGAAAACAGATTTGGAAATTAGTTGCAAAGGAAAGAGCAGATGGCACTCCAAGAGTAACATGGAAAGAAAGAAGAGCACTGGGTCAAGATGCCCGTAAATGAACAGCCTGTGGGCAGAGAGCAACACGGGTGAGGAGGAAGAGGTCTTTGAGGAGACAAGGAGCAAAATACCTACATTCTCCTGGAGGCCAAGGGTAAGACTTACTGTGCCACATGGAAAATCTGGACCACATGACACAGGGGAGGAGGAGAGTCTTACACTGTGTGGTCCTGTAGGTCCCTGACAGTCCTCAAGAGTTCACGGTTTGGGGCTCACTTCTGAATGAGCCCTGGCCACTACATCACAACCTCTTCATTAAAAAGATATACAAGTGTCGTGACCCCTTCAAACCCGGTCACACTGTCAAAAGGTCTCAAACACAGGGTGTGATCAATAAAAGCCAGAATGTGGGAACCCCTACAAGATAACAGACAGTTGTTTCAACAGATAAATTACAAAACAGAGTGACCATATACATATCTAAGAGACACTTCATCAAATGCAATTGCAGACTTTATTTGGATCCTAGTTTGAACAAACTGACTAGCAAACTCCAGGAGATAGTAAAGGAGAGGGAAGCCTGGTGTGCTGCAGTTCATGGGATGGCAAATAGTCGGACGTGACTTTGTAAGTGAACAACAACGAAAGGCCTACTGGTGTAGAAACTGTGGGTAGCCCCTTGTCTTAGTGATATGCAATGAAATACTTATGGATATTATAGTTTGGGGATAGGCCTCCTAAACTTTCAACTTTTTTTTTAAGGGGAGAGGAGGAAGGCAGAGTGTAAACATCGGATAGGAGTTCTAACTGCAGAGGCTGGTGATGGATGGATGGTTAACAGACCTAAACCACCTTATCCATCATTTTCGGAGACTCTTTTCCTTCAAATTCTGAGGTAAACACTTGACTCAATTATTGGGGAAGAGGCCTCTTCCTTGCTACCAGAATATACTGCAAACACTAAAACTGCTTATTACTACTTGGTATGCAAATAAGCAAAAATACAATTTATTTAAAAAACAAAAACATGCTTTAAAACGTAATCACATGAAAGCTATCATTTACTATACAAAAATGCGTTCAATGTCTTTAAGGTGATTACCCCATGAGGTAAAATAACTTCACTTGAAGGAAAAATTCATCTCCAGCGCATCCTCCTTGAGCCAAACAATGGAAAATTTTCACCTCAGCAAGCTGGCCTTGGGGAGGCTCAGTCTCAGCCCTGTTGCCTAGCGACGGCTGACATCTTCGTGCTTACAGAAATCTCTGGCACCCCTTGCACCCCTCTGCAAAAAAGACTGGCTACAGGTCATCAGTCAGTAGTTGCGCCTTCCTCATACCTTCCACTGCTCAGACAGATATAGGGCTGGTGGACGTCACCTGCAAAGTCTTGAAACGAAAAGAAGTTTATTACATCTGCTAAACTGGCTTTTACAACTGTATCAACTCCAGTCCTAGCTCTCATCCATCCGATTCCTAACAATTCCTGCGAATTCTACTCAAAGTCTAAAGTTACAAAGCAGGTAAACTAAGTAGAATACCAGCTAACCATTCAACTGACTTTTTTCTCCAGAAAAAACTACCAAGTGATCAACTGATCTATTACGTCAACATGATAACGTATTCATTACACCAATTTGATAAAAGTATATGTCTTGCTTGGGTTTCTAATTCTGGTAGTGGTTAAAGTTAAAACAATAACAATACCAGCCTGAAACTTCTGTTTAAATCCTAAACACCAGGTTACAGGATGAAATTACACAAACTCAACAACAGCAACCTATGTAAATAAGCATTTTAGATCACTTAAATGTTACCCTGCTAAAAATGCAAATACAGCAAATAATTAAATACCAGAATTCATCAAAATTACTGTAATCATGGTGTTTTATATGAAGTATCATAAAACTTGTGATCTGCAACATTTTTTGTAACCACTTTTCAGAACTCTCAGTGCTTGAAACTACTCTTTCAGATGATTTTATCTTATTTTTGTTCGATGAACATTTCACTACCAAAATGTTTCATTTCAAGGAGTGATTAGTTTTACTTCCCCAGTATCTAAGAGCACTAGATTTTACTGGTTTCTACATTTTCTTTTCACAACATTTGGACTCATTTTTCTGCAATTCGGCTATAAGAAATTGAGTAAAATCCAAAAACGAAACTAATCACTTGGACGCAAGAGACAAAAAGCAGTTTGCAATCAACCCAACGTGAAAGATCTGCAAGCTCCATCCATGGTGAAGCTTATCACTATGAAGAAGACGTCCCCGGATCCATTTTAGGGCTTTGGGGGATAAGTCGGTTAGGTGTGCAAATGCACCCCCCCGGCCCCCGCTGACACCAGCTGACAAACCCAACTGACATTCAGCACTCAAAATGGCTGCACAGTTGCCGGCCTCAGGTAACCGTACCTGAGGCACTGGGCTGAGTTCTCCAACAGAAGACTTAGGGAGACCCCCATCAATAACCCAAGATATCGTGGACGCCAATGTCCTGGGGAGACCTCCCTCAACGACCCAGAGATCTTGCCCTCTTCCAAAGAGTGGAGACTTCAATGACCAACAGAGACCCCGCATCACCAAAATATTCGGGAGACCACCCCCCCCCCCCGTCAATGACCAGGGAAGATTCTGCCCCTCAAAACCAGGGGAGATCTTCTCTTCCCAGTAACCTGAAGAAATAATGCCTCTCTCAAATGACAGGGGGAAATGTGGCCCCACAGGGACCCTGAGAGATCTCTCTTACAACTCATAATCGGCGGAGAACCCCTCCCCCAAAGCCTGGGGACACCCCTAATGACCAGAGACTTCGCTCCCTAAAGTCCCAGAGAAACCCTCCTCCAAAGTCCCCGGGGAGGCAGGGCCGTAGGCCGAGGAAAGCGGGAATTACCTGCTGCCTCAGGCCGGTCCCGCGGAGCTTCCTTCCTATTGTTTCTCTCCCACCAAGATGGCGGCCGCCGCGCCGAGCCCCGCCCCCTGCGCCTCACTCCCTGAGCCCCTCACTATTGGCTCGCACCGGGAGCCCAGCTCGCGGACTGGGCGACCCAAAAAGCGCTGTTGCTAGGGCGCCCGGATTCGTTGTAGCCGCTTCCGGAAGGGGCGGGGCATGGGCGGAGTTAGGGAGAGGGGTGGGGTCTTGTCTGCCTTCAAGGGAGATGGTGGCCAAGGAGGTCAGAGTTGGTGGACAGATGGGCTTCGAGCACATGGGTGCAATAAGGGATGCCAGGGATACAGATGGATGAACCAAATGTATCATTTTTCCTGGGACCGAGGAGTTTCCTGGGATGCAGGACTTCAGTGTTAACATCGAGAGTGTGTGAAGCAATTTGGTCACCCTAGTAGACGGATGGACAGAGGACTGGACGTGGTTGGATAGAAAGATAGACAAAACAGTGGCTGTAGACGGGAGATAAAGGGCAGTTCTATGCATGGGTGGACAGGTGGCCGGATGTAGATGGATGGACAAATGACTAGATAATATAGGGGTGAACAGAGGAAGGGCTGTATAGTCCCTTTGTGGACTGGTGGGTGATCCTGTGTTCAACCCAGGTTCCACCGAGATCCACCCTTCAGTGCTTGTCTGAAGCTTGTTTGTTCTATGCCCTGTGTTGGCCAGAAGGGCTCCCACCTGAGTGAATGACAATGTGGCTGTCAAAGGCAAGGCAGGACAAGGATGCTACTAAGAGTGGTCAGGGCCTCCTACCTGTTCTCTGCTCTTAAAAAAAAAGAAATCAAAATCACCTGTGTGCTCGGAGCTTGCAGAGGTGTGGATTCATGAACATACCCATTCATTCAACAAGTGTTTATGGAGCATCTACACTCCATACTGAAAATAACAGGAGTGAGTGAACAAAAGCAGTAGGGGAAAAAAAGAAAAAGCCTGCCCTTATGATGACAGGCTGGAAAGATTTCCTGTGACCAGTCGATCTTTCCTCTCTTGGAAGCACCTTCCCTGTGTGGCTCCCAGGGCTCCATGCCTCCTGGTTTCCTCTGCCATCAGTGGTTTCTCCTCTTCATCTTCTGTCTACACTATTGCTCTCATAATCTTCCCCAGGGTCATGGCTTCAAATCCCACGTACATGTCAATCAGTCCCAAAGGTGTATGTCCAGTCAGAGCTTTTCTGAGTGCCAGACTCAATCAATGTCCAGCTGTGGACTCAGCATCTAACTCTGACTTTCCTCTTGGCATCTCAAACTCAACTTGTGCCACCCTAGCTCCAGCTCATCCCCCAAACCTACTCCACCCCAGCTCCACCAGCGCAAGTGATGGCAGCTCTCTCCTTCCTACAGGCCAATCACCTCAGAGTACATCTTGATGACTTTCTTTCCCACTTATATTCAATGCATCAGAAAGCCCCCTTGTTTCCATAGAATCATCTACCCAGAATGAAACCGCTTCTTTCAGGCCCATGGCTTCCACCTAGTCCAAGCCACCACCATCTCTCCCCAGGACAATGCCTCAGTCATGTCCCAGTTTCTTCCTGCTGCCCTTGCCACCTTCAGTTTGTTCTCCTCACATCAGCCTATGTATATATAAGTCAGAACCTCTCCTACTGCTCAGAACCCTGCAGTAGCAACTCCCCCGAAGAAAAGCCAGAGCTGGAAGGGGCTCCATTATTCCATCACCGCTCTGCCAGCATTTCCTTTCTTTGTCTCTGGCACCATGGCTCACCTCCTAAAGTTTCTAACATCTCACATTCTGTGCATTCTCGTGGCTCAAATGAAAATCTGTTTTGCTCATGGATGTATCCCGTCCCTTCCTCTGTCCACCCAATCTCCCCTTCCAGTGCTCCTGTGTGTGAGGAGGAGGCTGGACAGGGCGAGGTCTCCCTGGGGGCCGTCCAGTTTTAATTCACTCTTCCATTTCTTCCATAAGTGCTTAAGGCAGGCTTCCCTGGGCTAGACACTGGGTACGTGGCAAGAATGGACAGCAGGAATTCAAATGATTTACCAAATCCTTATGCTCTCTTTAGTTAATGCAATGACTGTAAATACAGAAAACTACTACATAGTTTTCTTGAAAACTATTACAATAGATAAGAGAAAATGTTAAAGTGATAAATATAAGGAAAATATATTTAAAATAAGAGCATTTACTAAAAATAAGCAAGAAAAACATTCAGTTAGCTATAAAATATTTAGGAATAAACTTATCAAGAAAAGTATTGAACTATATAGCTGAGAAACCTGTAAAATCTTCTTAAATGACATGAAACTTATAGAACATTATTAAAGGGTAAGATAAAAACAAGTGGAAAGATACTAAATTCCTGATGTGGTGTGTGGTCCAGATCTCAACTCTCAGCAACCACCTCACCCTGAAGGTAACCCCCTGGCGTCCTTGTTACTACTTCTCCTGCAGAGGTAACCACTATCCTGATTTTCATTACCGTAGACAAATTTTGTCTATCTAAAATTTCATATAGATTGACTTATACAATATGTACTTTTCGTATGGCTTTTTCATTCAGCATTATATCTGTGAGTTTCATCCATACTGTTGTGTATTGCTTTAGTGTTTCTTTTTCATGTCTATAGTATTCTACCACATGACTACATATACCACCATCATCCTTAGCTTATTGGCTTTTGTCTTCATGCTTTTGGACCCAGCTTTGCAAGGTGGTAGTTGTCTCTCCAGACATCGCATTAGTATGCAAAGCAGAAGAAAATCCTGCTGTTGGCACCACCCACATCTTTTCCCTTTATCAGGTAAGCAAACACCTTTCCAGAACTCCCTGTAGACTTATATTTATTTCCAAGTGATTAAAACTGGGTCATCTGTGGCCACTCCTAGATATAAGATTAAGAGATGAGGGAATGGGGTCAGGGAATCACTTGGGACTGGACACTTGCTGCTGTGGACAAAATTCAGGTTTGTTAGCAAAGATGAAGGGGAAAAGGGTATTGTGAGGCAACTAACAAAACCTTACAAAGTGAAAAGATGTTCACATTCATCAGAAAGCAAGGAATGTAAATCAAAGTGAAAACTTTAACAACGGCAAAACTATGAAGACAGTAAAAAGATCAGTGGTTGCCAGGTTTTTGATGGGGAGGGAGAGATAGATGGAGCACAATTTTTTAGGGCAGTGAAAATATACTGTATGATACTATTGATATAATGGTGGTTGTTGTTTAGTCACTGTAAGTCGTGTCTGACTTTTGCCACTCCCTGGGCTGCAGCCTGCCGAGCTCCTCTGTCCAGGGGGTTCTCCAGGCAAGAATACTAGAATGGATTGCCATTTCCTTCTCCAGGGGATCTTCCAGACCCAGGGATCGAACATGCAACTCCTGCATTGCAGGTGGATTCTTTACCCCTGAACTACCTAGGAAGCCCTGAAATAATGGTAGATACATGTTATTACACATTTGCAAAAACCCATGAAATGTACAACACAAAGAACGGACTCTGTGTAAACTATGGACTTTGGTTGATGATGTGTTAACACTGGGTCACTGACTGGAACAAACTATGATACTAGTGCAGGGTAATGATGGTGAGCAAAGCTGTGTGTCACAGGAGAAGGGGTTATATGGGGACTCTCAGGACTTTCCGCTCAATTTTGCTGTGAACCTAAAACTGATCTAAACAAGTCTATTTTTTTTTTTTTTGAAGAGTAATAATGAGAATACGTCACTTTAAACTGCAGGGGGCACAGGTTCAATTCCTGGTCAGGGAACTAAGATCCCACATGACGCGTGTGTGTGGACAATAAGAAAAAACAAAGGAAAAAGAGAAAAAGAGCTACACCAGGTCTGGCTTTCAGGGATGTGAGGAAAAATATTTGTCCAAACACTGTTGATAAAGGTAAGATCAGTCATAGCCTTTTTGGTAAGCAATTGTGTGTGTGTATGTGTGTGTGTGTGTGTGTGTGTGTGATGCCCAGGCTTAGTTGCTCCATGGCATATGGGATCTTTCTGGACCAGGAATCAAACCTGTATCTCCTGCATTGGCAGGTGGATTCTTTACCACTGAACCACCAGGGAAGCCCTGGAAAGCAATTTGAGAAAGTCCAATAAAATAAAAATACATATGCTTTTGGACTCTAATCCCAATGTTAAGATTCTCACTTATAGAAATAAGTGTAGTAAAAAGAAAATTGCAAAGTGATGGCCCATCCATGGGGCACCGTTGGGACATTTCGGTATCTCCATACTGTTCCAGTTACTATGTTGTGTAATATATTACCCAAATCTAGTGACTTAAAACAGCAAGATTTTAATTTTGCTCACAAACCTGCCCATTGTGAAGAATTCAGTGGAGACCGCTCTTTGCTGCATCTTAAAAACTAGGGCTGGAATCATATGAAGGCTCCTTACTTGAAGTATGGTGTTTGATGTTGGCTGTCAGTGAAGACTGTTTTTCTTCTGGCCACGCCACGTGACTTGTTCCACGCCACGTGACGTCAGGGATCTTAGTTCCCTGACCAAGGATTGAACCCGGGCCCTCAGTAGTGTGCACCCCAAGTCCTAACCTCTGGACTACCAGGGAATTCCCCGTCAGTTAAGACTTTTCCTGGGGCTGGAACACCCATACGTGGCCCCTCCATGTACCCTGGACTTCCCCACAACAGAGTGGCTAGTTTCCAAGGATGATTGTCCCGAGAGAGA